CAGAGCAAAAGCAAAGGCTGAAGCTGCTCAAGCAAGAGCCTCATATGCAAAGAGAGAAATAGAAATTAAAGTTGAGCAAGCACGCTTACAATCTACTCTCGATGCACTGAGAGCAGAACAAGAGAAGGAAGCTGCCATAGCAGAAGCTAATTCTTTAGAAGCTGGTCTACTTGAATTAGGCTTCAAAACACACAGTGTAGCTTATGGCCCATCCCTAGCTGAGATCCAAGAACATACTGCAGAGTATGTTTTGGAACAAACAGCTATCAATGCAGCAGAATCAACAGCCCCAGTAAAAACTAAATACAAAGACCCTGCACCTGCCTTTCAATAAACTGCTGTAAAAGAAAGAAACAAAACAAACTGTGCTGCTTCTCATAATGAACTGTACAAGCCCCTATCCACCAGCTACAAAGACTTTACCCCTCTTGTTCAGACACCATATAAATCCAATTTTACTCACCGTGACCATGCCCCGAGCCAACCGACTTACGACCTTGCCAAATATCTAGTTCCTGGGTTCATGTTTAGCTGTTTGGATAGCTAGTCAGACTTCTAGTGAAGCCAATTACAACTTGACTTTCTAACAGAGACCTGGCAGTGTCCAAATGATTTCGCAAAACTCAATATCACCACTCTGCCTGGATTTGTTTACACCTGCCAACCCCGTGTGTCTGGAAGTGGGCCTGGACACACGGATGAGGTATAAGGTATCTTGTTTTTCTGCTCCTGCCTATTCCTCTATTCAATCCATTATCATACAAATTAATGGCCCAATTCCCACACTTTTAGTTGCTATTTACCACCTATCATAAACCCAACTTTGACTTTTTAACATACTTTTCTGACTATCTTTCTGAAATTCTACTCTTATCTCCAAATAAATATACTACTGCTGGGAGATTTTGATATTGACATGGACAGCACATCAAATTCATCCACAAGAGATTTTATATCCTGTCTGAACAATTTCGGCTTACACCAATATATGGCTATTTGCACACACTCCAAATGACATATTTTGGATCTTCTCTGCTGCACTGGTGTCATCCTGAAGAACTGTGCTGTATTGGACATTTTTCAGATCATAAATTAGTTTTATTCAGTGTTAGTCTCCTACTGTACAAAAATAAATAAAACCACTCAATTACCTTTAGAAACATTAGGGGCATTAATCTAATCCAATTAATCTAATCTAATCTATCAGCTCTTTCCCTTGGCATTAATAATTTACCAACCATTGATGCCTCAGCTTCTGCAGACGACTTGGTATTGCACTATAACAATGGACTTATCAACCTCTTAGATACTGAATAGATATCGAACTGTTGTCTTTCACTCGCTCTGCCCCCTGGTATTCATCTGAACTTCACCAACTTAAAGCTGTTGGATGCC